GGGACCAAGGCCACCAGTGAATCCCAGCAGCACCTGGACAAAGTCTGTTCATGGGATGTCACAGGACTGCCTGTCCACTCTATTAAAAGCTGTGCTTCTTCAAAATTTCTCAGACAGAATAAATGATCCCATCCTTCATCAAAATGAATGCATTTCCAGGCGCCTGCAAGGAGGATTACCTAATCATGTCACAAAGACACTGCCACCCAAGTGATCATGGAGAAACTGTACAGCAGGGCAGTAGTCTTCCTTACCCTGCTCCCTCCTTTCCAAGTGGAGAGCAGAGACTCACAGATGGCTGCCATGAGCTGGACATCTCCTGTCCTTTTTCCTTTCCAAGCCATCAGGCCTGCAAGGCTCAGGAAGCACTGAGCCTTGAGGAGGGTGCTGGCCAACCCCCTCAGCTGCCACAGGACTATGGCAGCATCAGCTTTCTGCCCTTCCCCAGGAGTTGGTGAAGACCTGCTCAGCAGCCACACCTGAAAAGGCAAGAGAGACAGTATTCCAGGGCCAGAAAATACAACCACACAGGTAGAGAAAAGGTTGGGATAAGTGAGGGGCTTGGACACTGTTCAAGCATGCAGCACTCAAGGGCTGCCACTGTCTGCTGCTTGGCTCTGCCGAGCTCTTTGCAGAACTGGGGTCTGGTGAAAGGACTACCCCTGATGGTAGCACACCACAAACTCATGTTTTCTCACACTGCCCATACAACTTGGACTGCATTTCCTCTTCAGCTTTTCTTTTTAGCCCAGTTCCAGATTGCCTTTTCTTCTTGGGGTCCTGTATGTGATGATGCAATGAAGACAGTGTCCTCAAGAAATGGGATATGATGTTTTCTTTCAAGATGATTTTAGCACTAAGAAGACTCTGGATTCCACCCATTTTACCAGGAAGCAAAGTGTAGAAAGAATGGAAATAAACAGCAGCTCCTGAAAAGGGTTAAAGCCAGGATGGACAACTGCCAGGTCACTTGTCCGAGTTGCAGGAGAAAATGCCTGTCCTGGCAGGGGGCCAACTGAGAAAGGCAGAGCTTGCTGCTGTTGAGGGTAACACCATTGCCAGTGTGCCACAAGTAATCTGGAAAGGCTTCTGCTTAAAGCTGGAAACAACAGAATCCAGTCAGCAGTCTGTCATGGAGTCCTTGTATCTGCTGAGGGAACAGAGTATGACTCCTCACAGATCTTCCACTTCTTCTGCAGTGGAGGAAAACAAAAGTAGCTTACCCTGTCCCGTGCCCTGAGGCTTTTAGATGACTGTATCTTCTGAGAGTCTGTGTTCTTTTAATTTACTGGTGATGGGTAGTCCATAATGACGTGAACCGTTTGATTTCCATAGCGCAACATCATCTCTTGCCAGGGATACAATTTGATCATATCACATTTGATGTCACATGATGTTTGTTCTTATTCATTGCTCCACAGATCTTAAAACCATCCTTCTCCAGAAGTAAAGAGGATATAAGGACACCTCACACTTGATTTCAACACCTTGCCCTCCACCAACCACTCTGTGCTGTTGACCTCTGGCTCTAGACTGGATTCACAAGCCCCCATAAAAGAGTATGTCTGTTTCTTAGGTCCCAAGCATAACCATATAATGAAGACATACCAAGGCTCTGGTCAGTGTGCCCTGGGATTTTTGAAGGCAAATGTACAAATGTGTCCTGCTCTTTGAGGGCATTTGAGTAAGACAAATCCATAGCAACAAATGCTGCACAGGTACACTGTACAGATGGGTACTTACTGACTCCAAGGCATGAACTGGCCTGGAAACCACAGTGCGGAAAACAGCCAGAAGCCCTTCTCCCAAACCCCACTCCCTTACAGGCTTCCAAGTGAAGACATTGTGGTCTGGGTTAGGCAGGGTTTGCTGTGCTGGCCCTTGCAGGATCACAGTGTGTGTGACACTGACCAGGCTGGGGCACAGCCAGAGGCAGAAGAGGCTTGTTGGGGACATGAACCAAAACCACAGTCTGTTCTGTTTCACAAACTTGAAAAGTTTGAGGTCACTATACACAATTCTTGTATTTGTTCCATCATCTGCTCAAAAGTCTTGTGACAGCTGCTATGTACACCCTGTCCTAAAGCAAGAACAGAGGCTTTCATTTTAACATGCCGCTCAGGTGACTGAAAAAAGAGCATCTTACAAAATAGCTTATTCAGGAACAAATTATGTATGTGTCACTGCTCTCTGCAATAAACGTAGAAGTTTTATAGTGCATTTTTTAAAAACTTGACTTTGGGGTGTTTTTTTTAATATCACTTAACTAAAATTTTATGTTCATGATTTCCTCCAACAATACACAACGCAAATGGAGAAAAAATATGGGGGAAATTACATTGCTAGCAGGAAACAAAAATTCATAAATAAAATGTGCTGGAAGTAAAACAGATGGTTGGCACCTGGTGGTCCTTTATAACCCTGGGTGACAGTTAGAACTATTCCTACACTTGGAGAAGGAAATAAAGGAAGTGAAACTTGTCTGTATCACTATTACTCTTGCACTGCTTTAGGGTTCTTGACATTGTAGGGTGTGGGATTTCTAGCTGTGCCTAAACTGAAGGTCAGTCCTTGCTCCTCAGCTGTCCACATCCCCAACACTGCTCTTTTCCCAGAGCCTGGACGATGTTGTTCATGTAGATCAGATACCAGCACCACACATGCTGGGTGGGCACAGTAGGGTACTCACCACCTCCCAGCCAGAGCCAGAGCACAACAGCAGCATCTGCTGCTCTGTCTTGCAGTCAGTCACCTTCTGAGTGCTGAGAAGCAGGAAGCAGCGTGCTCACTCCTTGTCTCTGCTTCTGAAACACTGAGTGAGGATCCATGCAAGGCACTGCATTATGTGCTGCTGCCTGAGCAAGGGGACACACTCCCTGCACAGAGGTTCCCTGGCTGACATGTTTGTGACCTCTCCAAACAATTCTGGTGCAATGATGTCTCCAGCGGTCTTGATCTCTGTAACCCTTCCCAGCAATACAATCTCAGAAATAAGATGCCACAGCTGTCAGTCATCAACAATTCATCTTTCCCACAAAGCTATTGGATGTGACAGTAAACACTCACCTTCAGCTAAGCTCATTCTGAAAAATTACTTGAAGGCAAATTGTTGAAAAACAGACAGACTGTTGCAAATGGGAACAGTGAGACCAGTGCCTGCGCTGATTTGCCTAAGGTACGGACACAAGGTCACACAGTAGGAGAAATGAGGAAAAAAATCAGCATATGGTGAATAATGGGATAATTTTAGTTAAAAAATTGCTATTTTTCACCTCTTAATCCCAAAGATTAATTTGGCTAATCTGGAACCTGACCTCCTCCCTCCATGGGCTGTTCTTAGGTTGCACAGGTACTTGATGGCACCACACAGAGGAAGATTACCTCATTGGTCACCTCCCAAGGAAATTCTGCACTGAGCAAAGCAAGGGAAGGATAGGAGGCAGCACTGCTTTTATACCAACTGCAATAACCTGCAAAGAAGTTGTGTCCACTCCAAAAACATTCTGCAGCAAGGGGTGAGAGAAGGGGCTCAGATTAAGGAGTGATTAGTGAGGGGGAGCTCTTATGCCAGAAGCATGGCTTTCCATGCCAGAATGATTTTTCTGAAGGATGAGGCACTACTGCCAAATAAGTGTGACAACAGGGAGGATACTGAGACCACTCATGCAGAAGTAGCTCTTCTCATGTGTTGTATGCATAGTGAGTACAATTCCAGTGTATTTTACAAGGGCTCTACTCCTTCAAAAGTCCAAGAGCAACAAGAGTACTTGAAATTCACCACCTTTGCCACCAAGTGTTGTTTTTTCATAATACAAATTGTCAGTAGATGGATTACACATCAGGTTTTGGAAGGTCATACGCACCATCGCCTTTCAGAAGCATCCGCCACTTATTTATGTACTGAGCACTCAGCACTTAGCCAAATTATTTTCATGTTATCACAGAACAAGGAGCCCCTGTAGCCACAGGGTGAGACCACAGATATTATCAGCAAGTGCTGTAATGTTTACCATGTCTGTAGTAGCATTCCTATAACACTCAAGAAAGATTCTATCAAGTCTGTGTTGTACGTTCTTAGTAGCTTTTGAGAGCCACTGGCCTAAAAGCATTCTCAAGCAGAAGTGACAAAAAAGTTGCTATTTCTGTAGTTCATGTACTTAAGTGCAAGAACTGCATACATGACTTACAGCCCTTTCAACACTACAGCAATCGATCAACTACAGCATCTTTAGAACTCCATGCCTGAACTCCTCCCTCTTAGATCTGCAAGTGCCCTTGAAACACCTGGCCACTCTCTGTGTACTGTTTCTGGACATGAACCTTCCATATGTAAAAGAATTTCCATACAGAAAAGTTCCCATCAGAGTGCATTTTAAGTGAAGCACTTGGAAGAAGGTATCTGTAAGATGTTAGTGAGTAATCAAAATTTTAAAAGTGAATTGCTTCTTCAATCTGTTTCCAAAGGACTAATCCTACTTCAGATCCCAGCTATTTTATGTTGTACACTTGAAAATTTTAAAGATTCAGGAATGGACAGAGTAGTCCACAAACACAATTTCATTTACAGTAACAATGCTTAGGAAATCCATGAATTTTGGGGGTTAATAACATCAGAGAAGATGCACATGATCTCATCAGCTATCTCACTCTCTAAGAAAGAAAAATATCCACTACAATTCTAGACTCTTTCCTTTCTCAATACAGAAGGACAATATTGTCTAGAATATTTTATTTTTCAATTCCAAAAGAATATTCATATGAATGATTCACATTAGTGACTGGAAAAACTAAGTAACTACAGATACATAGCTTCTTTTCTCCAGAGTAAACAACTTTTCTCTAGAGTATGTGAAAATGTTCTGAATATCAGCATTTTGTTCAAATAAGAAGCTCTTAATTATAATTTTAATTGATTTAATTGATTGAATGTACTTAACTCCATGTGTTCAGAGGGAAGAAATCCTGTGTGAATAATTATATGTGACATTCAAACAAACCAGTCATTTGTTTCCACTGCACAATTTATTCAGTTTCAAATTAGAAAAAAAGTACCATGTATTTGACAATTTGCATGCATAAACTCAAAACATTTCAGCTCAAAAAATTATTGATTTCTTCCAGTCTTGTATTAAGGCGTTCAGGAATTTAGCTAGGCAGACAAATATCTGGATTAAAAAAAAAAAAAAAAAAAAAAGAAACCAGACAGACAAGTTACAAGCCAGATTTACAAGCCAGATTACTTCTGTTAACAAATATGACCACAGTGAGTCCTGGTAGTAGACAGTTGCATTCCTTATCTTTTCAGTGTCTATAGGTGATAGGAGTCAAAGTGATTGGGGAAGAGTTATCTTCAGCAATAGTTTCTTCAACTGTTTCTTGATTTGGAGTGCTGAATAAGCCATTGTAATGTTATGTCTGTCAGGATAAATGAAACAAAATGAGAAACTCAAGAGCCTGTTTGCAACTGTAGAAGCACAACAGAACACCAGCAGGCTAATACAAATACAAAAACCCCAACCAAACAAAACCCAGAAACCCACAGGTTCTCATTCCCACATAACTGAAGTTCAGAACATCAACCTCCAGGTGGCCCTTTTCTGGTTATTTTTGTATGTTTTTAAATCATGTGCATTTTGTATTTTCGAAATACAGTGACTGACATCAAGTTCTCTAAGCCACAGATAGATAAGGAACTCTTGAAAAAGCAAAGATTCAAGATGAGCATAAAACAAACTGTAAAATCCAGACTAGAATGAAATGCTGAGTGAGAACAAAGGCAAATACACAATATATTAAGAAGCTGACAATATATTAAGAAGCTATTTAGGTAGGTTGTAGGAGTCCAAGGTCTCTGAAAGACATGCAACATTGGACTAAAATTTGATAGCTGAAATTGGCACCCCTCCTGATGCAATCCAAGGCATTGAGCTGAAAACTGCAGCAGTTCACAAACTGATTCATGAGCAGATTAGATTTTTTTGCCTCAAGGCAGTAACATCTGTCAGGAAGGCAGAAAGGATGTCAGGGGGCAGCAGCAGCTCTAGCCCTCAAATTGAAATTTGTTGCCATATTTGTCTTAAGTTCAAGACAGCACTCCATGAATATCCTTGCAGACCAGCTTAGGCTCTGAGACTGCAGAAAAAAGCAACCCACTGCACTTATATCAAAGCTAATAACTGTATAATTATTTTCCACAGTCTCTCAGGACACAGTAACTGGCAGCCTTACACCTACAGCTCCTGATGAGACCAGTGAGCTAGGCTGCAGTTCACACTGCAAAACCAGTATCACATCTCATTCAACTACGCTGGCATCAGCCAAGAACACAGAGGAAGAAGACAGCTGCCAGTCTTCTCCTTAACAGACTAGCAGTTTCATCCCTTTAATAAGCTAACATAACAGTCTTTCTTTATAAATTGAGCCCTTTGGTCTCCCTAGCTTCTCACCCAACCTCTTTTCTCAAGGTCTTCCTCAAAATATGGCATATGGTGCTCCAACAATGCCCACAGTCTGAAATGGTATACGCAGTGTGCTCTCATTCTTTATTTTGCTTTTGCAAACATTCAAGAGCCTGGCTAGTCTTTCTAGGCACAGTATTACACTGGAAGATACTTGACCAAGTCTCAGTTAGGATTTTTTCATCACTACTCCCAGAACTTCCACAAGTAAGGGATTTATACTGTTCCTGCATTAATGATCATTCTTTCATGCAAATTTTAGGATGCTTTTTGTTGCATGCTTTTCTCCTCCAGGGCATCCAGATAAACAGACTAGGATCAAAATCTATTTTCTCCATTAGTCTTTCAGAAATTAAGCTGGTTTTACTACTTTCCAGTCACAATTCCACTTTTAAGAACCTTCACTGCAGCCTTGCCAATTTGATGAGGATTAAGCACAGCATTTCAAAAACCTCAATCACATTCACTGCCCTTCAACGACTGAGATTATCCTGTGTTGTCTTCTACAGTCCTTATCTCCTGAAGTCTAATCTTCCCCACTGTAGCACCACCTTCTATGAATCTCCCTCACTCAGAGATAACAGCTGCACCCCAAGCTGCAGCAAACATGTGTCTGGTTTCCTTCCAACTAACACACCCAAGTCATCTACACCATTTGCAGGAGAAGCCCTCAGTGCCTAACCCATCTCTGCACACAGCTGAACTCTCCCCCGGCTCACTGAAGTCCAGGTGCCACGGTACAGTCTCCTCACCATCTCCACTACCTGCTTCTCTCTGTGGAGGATGGAAATTTCCCCTGCAGCTGAGAGAAAGTGGCTTTCTTCCCATTCCCACTCTCACAGTTCCTCACTCAGCTGAGCCCTACAGAGCTGCCCAGCTCTTCTATCAAGTCTGGTTTCCTCACATAGCAGCTATAAATATCTAGCCAGGCTGGATCCCATCCCATCCAGCACCACTTGTTTCAGCAGCATGCAGAGAAGGGTGGCACAGAGGTAGCAGGGCCCCAGACAATTGCTGCTGCTGCTAGCTCAGCCTGTGGAGGGAAGGGAATGGGAGAAAATTACAGAGGAAAGGGACAGGAAAGTGGAAGACAGCAGAGAGAGGAAAAGGCAAAAAGCAAAGGCAGATGGAAGACAAGTTAATGGGGATAGATCTTCACTGACTACAGGATACACTCATTGCATTTCCTCTTGGAAAAAGTACCCATCCCTCAGTTAGAGGAACAGCCACATACTCATAAAACTTGCTTACCAAATAAAACAATGTGTGGAGTAAATCACCAACAGTTTTTTAGGATCACCTAATAATTGGAAGGCCTTCACAGACAGCTACTGTTTCTTCAAAAGTAACACAGGTTTCTTGTAAAGGATTCAATTAATCCAGGTTTTAAATACACTTTTCCATGGTCCCTGTCAAATTAACTTCTCATGGAACTAAATATTTCAACAAGGTAACAAGGTTTTTCTTAATTAAACATAATTCTATGTTGAAACAAATACAGTGGCATACAATAATTGCAAAATACCTTTCAATGTAAATTGAGATCTATTGAGATCTTCAATAGTATAGTGGAGGCAGATGTTCAAACCTGATCTGATCCAAATTCCAAAGTATACACTGATGATACTAGAAGAAGCTTACCTATGTTATCCTTCTCTTTACAGGAAATAGAATAGCAACAGATTTCTCTGTCTTGAATAGCTGAAAGGTTTCTACAGAAACAAAAATTATAAGTACTGTTATAATCCCATAAACACTGAGAATAGAAATTTCCATTAAATTATATGTTTTCTGCTTTTTACTCAGTGGGTTCAATTCTATTCTCAGATGTTAAATTCTTAAAATATGCCACTGCACAGAGAAAACCATGCATTTCTTAAACTATAAGGATTAAAAGTTTATAAAGTAATTTCACAAAAATTTTAATTTCACATTAGGTCAGTGTAATAGTGAGAAATAAAACCACAGATTCCATAAGCTAAAAATAAGATTTTGTTATTTTTATATCTTGTTATGCAACCAAGTATTACCCATGTCTTAGCATTCACCTTTCACTAAGAATTCAGAGGGTTTTTTTTGTCCAGTAAATCATAATAAAATATCAGTGCTCAAATGATCACACCATTTATCTTCAGGATGTTTACTATATGATACTTAATATATCACATCTGACTCCTACTGAAAGGATGCCTCTGCATTTAGGAAGAAACTGATTCTTAATCAACTTCTTTCTGGGAATTCTCCAGCCTCCCTCAGAGCTTCTGAACAGTCTTATTTTTTCAGTTATTTATCCTCACACAAGTGACACAGACATGCACAAACAATTTTCCTGAACAGGTGGGAACTGAAGGTACTGAGAAGTCTGAAGATCATACAAGAGCAGCAAAGAAGAGAACTAAACAGGGACCTCCCTGGACTTAGGAGAGCAGACCCAGCCTCTCCAGGGATCTGTTTGGGAAAGTCCCATGTAGTTAGGCCCTGTAGCAAAGAAGGGATAAAGAAAGCTAACTAATATCCAAAGCTCCTCTCCAAATTTAAGAATAACCTATCCTAATTAGCCTGGAAAAAAAGCCAAAAGACATTAAGTGGATGAACAGTAAGTTCATTAACATAGTTATTAAAAGGAAGCACAGAGAAGGTCGGAGCAGAGACAGGTAACCTGGGAGGAATACAGAAACGCTGTCCAAGAATGCAGAGACACCAGCAGCTCAGCCAAAGCCCAGCTGAAGCTGGATCTCATGAGGGATGTCAAAGAAAACTAGAAAGTGACAAGTGGAAGACAGGAGAAAACGTGCACCCACTGCTCAATGAGACAGAGGACCTGGTTACACAGGACATGAAAACGCTGCCTTTGCTAGCAAGATTGGCCTTCACAAACCCCAGAGATCATGAGTCAGAGCAAACAAGTTGTACCCCTGATGGAAAATTACCTAACCAGGGAATAAATAAGCAGACTTGACATGGAGAAGTCCATCAGCCCTGGTGGGAAGCACCTGCAGTGATAAAGGAACTGGCTGATGTCATTGTGAGGCACTTTGAACAACCATGTCACCTGGGAGAGGTGCCTAAAGCACAGGAAGGCAAATGTCACTCTTCAGAAAAAGGAGGACCTGGGGAAGTACATGACAGTCAGCCCCACCTTGATTCTGGGAAGGTGATGATGCAACTAATCCTAGAAACTATTCCCAGGCATGTGACAGACAAGAAGGTGACCAGGAGTAGTCAGCATGGATTCACACAAGGGTAATCATGCTTGACCAACTCAAAAACCTTCTACAATGAAATCTACAGTTTGGCAGATGACAGAGAGCAACAGATATTGTGCACCTTGACTTGATTAAGGCTTTGACAGTGCCTTCCATAATATCTCCACAGACAAGGTGAGGAAGTATGGGTTGGATGCACAGACTGGCTGAACACTGGGTGATCAGTGGCACAAAGGCAAGCTGGAACCCAGCGACTACCAGTGTACACCAGGACCAACACTGGTCCAATCCTGTTCTAAATCTTCATTTGTTGCGAATGATGGGGCAAAGCACAAATTTCCTGATGACAGATAACTGGGAGGAGTGGCTGATACACCAGAGGGTCATGCTGCCACCCAGAGGGACCTCACAAGCTGGAGAAAAGAGCGGGCAGGGGACCTCATGCAGGTCAAAAAAGGAAAGTGCAAAGTCCTGCACCTAGGGAGAAACAACCCCAGGCACCAGAACAGGTCAGATGCCAACTGTCTGGAAAAGCAGCTTTCCAGGAAAGGACCTGGGCGTCTTGGCAGATCACCAGGTTGAACACAAGCAGTGTGGTAAAAGTGCTAATGGTATTCTGGGGTGCACTAGAAGGGCTGCCAGCAGGCTGAAGGGAGGTGATCTCTCCCTTTTACTCAGCACCAGTAAGGCTGTACCTGACCAGCTGTGGAACATCAGTACAAGAGAGACATGAATCTATGGAATAGGGCCCAACAAAGGACAACTAAAATAATGAGCAACTCACATACTAAGAAAAGCTGAAGAGCTGGGACTGTTTAGCCTAGAGAAGAAAAGGCTTAGGGAACTTCTTATTAATGTGTACAAAAATCTGAAGGGAGCCTGTAAAGAAGATGGAGCCCAGTGATGGGACAAGAGGCAATGGCCACAAATTGAAACACAGGAAGCTCTCTCTGAACACACAGAAACACTTTTTAGCTCTGAGAGTGACCAAGCACTAGCAAAGGCTGCCCAGACAGGCTCCTAAGGCTCCATCCTTGGAGATGTTCAAAAGCTGTCTGGACATGGTCCAGAGCAAGCAGCTCCAATGGGCAAAAGTCTCTTCTGGAGCAGGCAGATGACCTCAAGGTTCCTTCCAACCTCAGCCATTCTAAGAGCCCCAGTCTTTGGACCACCCTTACTATAGCAAAACTTCACTTTCCCACTAATTAAAATTATGTGACTTGGGAATCCAATTTTACAAAATTAGTACTATACTGGTCATTTTTACAAAATAGTATATTTTCTTTACAATTACATTTACTATGCATCAATTTGTTACTTTCAGTAATCCCTAAGTTATGCTTTGGATATTTGGCAAAATTACCTGACTTGCTTAAATTTACCAACACTAGATTGATATGGCTCTGCTCTAATGCCATTCAGGCATTAAACTGACACTGCATTGTACTGCAAGAAGTCAAAATGACCCTTTCAGTATGCCTACCAGTTCCTTCCTCAGTGATGGGAAAACAGGATTAGCTGAAATAACTTCACACAACCAAACAACAATCAAGAGAGATTCAAAACTACTGCGGTCAGTGATCAGCCCAGATCACTACATCAGGCACCAGCAGAGCTCGAATGGAATATCTGAGCATGCAAAATAGCATCTTTTATAGCCAGTTATTGTCATAGACTACCAATAATTTTGACTTACATATCAAACTTCACAGTGTCTCAGTTTTTACAAAAGCCAGCTACTTACAATTTCTCAATTAACTGCTTCTCATCCAGTGCACCTGGGAGGTCTCGTTTATTTCCAAGAACTAACACCTGAAACAAAGAATTCATATGCCTATTAAATCCAGGAGCAATGAAATTTCATTTTTGTCTGTAACTTCTTGCTGGCATTATTCTGGATCTTGCAGCTATTTAGAATGTAACAGAGGACATATTCAAAACGATCAATGATGTGGGAACATCATGGAAATCCTGCTGCTAGTCAGGACCAGATGCTGGATGTATACCCTCTGAAAACTGGATCAAATTTTTTCTAGGTGTGTTAGTATCAAAAGTCTCCTCAGAAAGTGAATCTCTCCATTCTGGATGGCATTACAAGATGGTATCAGACTAAATGCAAAGAAATTTGGAAGCCAGCATGCATCAGGTACACTCAAGCCACCAAAGGATATTCAATTCAGAGGACCAGACTGATGTTAATCAAAAGTAGGGCCCCAGCAGCAGAGGCTGGTCCTAAAGACCCAGACAAAATTCTCTCCACAATTTTTTTCTCCCTTGTTTCTTAACACTGATGCACTGAACAGCTCAGCCTACAAACCATGTATCACCTAAGCACCAGCCACCTCTCTGTCCAATTTGAGCATCCATGGTAAAAATCTGAAAGGCAGCCATTAGGAATCAAGTCCATGAAATGCAGAAAATTTACCCAATAGATGCTGGAACTTCAGAGTTCCTATTTAAGGCCTCAAGTATAAATTAAGGTCAGATAAATGGGTTGAGCACATTCTAAGATAAAGTAAGCAATGGAAGGTTTTTCTAGTTATGATTGCATTATTGTTTTCCAGATGTGCTACAATTCTAAGACTGTCCCATTATATCTCATGAATCTGGAACATATTAAGGTCATTACTTGCAGTAATTTAGAGTCCAGATTAATAAAGCTGCTCTAAAATCTATAGTGGCAAATCATCAGCACAATAAATTGAAGGAAGTTCAATACTAATTACTACATATGAAATAAATGTAAGTAAAAAATACATCACTGCACCTTGGAAATTACTGTGTGGGTCAGGCTGGGCATTTGGAATGTGATATTATAACATATAAGAGGCAAGGAACTTAATTAAATAGTACTGAAGATATGAGAGACCAATCATTTTAGTAAGGAAAAGTGAGAAGCAAAAGAGCATGCAAAGAGAGTACAAAGGACAGGCAATGTCACTCCCCATGAGCAGCATAACTGCCTATTTCTGTAGGATTTTTTCAATAGATAATTAACATATAAAATCACAACAAAAATAGGAAGCGTTATAAAAAAGATGGTGAATCACTTGAAAAACTCTCCTTTGAGAATAGTGGGACCAAAGGAGGGAGAGAGAGAGGGAGACTGACTGCATGCTGGAGGTACCATTTTCATACAGACCAAGTTCCAGGTTTCCACAGGGTGTAGATGCTATTCCCATAACCAATGGCATGTGCACAAACACCTCCCTTCCCACAGTTTGCCATGGTGGCAACACCCACATAGGCAGCATGTTCAGATACTAATTAAACATTCAGCTCCATTAGGCCTGGAATTAGTTTCTGCCTGCTGTGGCATCTGTGCTTATCTCATATTCCTGCTGTCGTGGCTTATCTTATGGGAAGTTCCTTCTGTGGCTTTGACAGTGTTTTGACACACTTCAAGTGCATTCTTTAAGTCCTTACACTGTCCACTCACCCTCAGGTGACTTTGATTACCTGTAGTGGCCAAGTGTCCAAATTACTGCTCACAAAAAAGGAGCCAAGGAAGAGCCATCAAGTCATGAGTTATTTCTTCCTCATTTTTATGTAGGACTGTTTTCTTTCTTATAATCAAGGTATGAACTCTTGTTTGGTGATGTCAACATAAAGACCAATGACAACCTGATGGATTCCTAATTCCTAAATGTAAAGATTACATTTAAATGAACAACATTAGTCTCCACCTTCATATTCCTCATTAGAACTTCAGCTGAATACACTATTCTTTGACACTTCCAACTGGAGAACAGGCGCATATTTGCATTTTTTCCACACAATTTAGTTTGAAATACTAAGTCAAGAAAAAGTCAGGACAAATAAAAAAAGCTCCTTCACAATCTCTGGAGGCAGAGGACACTAGTTGATGTTACTGTCTGCCAACCTGCAGAAATACTGATCTCACATGCCATAAGAACTGCCAGAAACATACCTGGGTCACTGCTGAAACCCAGCCACCCAGGGACTGACTGCAAGTCATTACTGTCTGATAATGCCACATGTGAAAACAATTTTTTGAAATCTATCCTGACCTTTAGACAAGAAATTGTACTAACACAAAGCAGCACTCTTAAGTTGCTGAGTACTATGAAAAAAAAACACAGTCATTTTTCTAAGAATGCTCAATGTATCAAGGCTGCATCATATATAACCCAGTATTTTTAACAGACCAGAGAAATCAACTCAGGAGGATTTAGGCCACACTGTCAACATTCAGGTAAGAATAATAATGAAAATACTTACTGGAATTCCATGCAATTGTGGCTTATCTATCAAGCTGTGAAGCTCATTCTTTGAAGCTTCTACTTTTTCTAAGTCTGCTGCATCCACCATGTACCTACAACAAAGAATAGTTATTTATGGCATTGACCACCACCTGCAGAAATTTGTATTAAAACATTTGAAATGTGACAAACGTGTTGATATTAACAAGAGCATTAGAAAAATCCAAAGTTATGTATGCCCCGCATTTACTGATATAGGAAGATATTGATATAGGAAGATAACAGATTTAGGCTGTTAAATATAGCCTGTGGGGGAAAAATGGCTTGGAATATGCAATTACTTACATGTCTTACATGTGCAAAACACACTACTTTTATTGTATTGGGTCTTCTTATGTGATAGAGGTCAACAGAAAAAAAAAACCAATTTTCTTTATGTGTAATATAATGTAATACCTAATTTTACAATAATATATATTACAAAGTACATTTTCTATGGACATACAAAAGAAAACTTACACAACTGCATTGACTCCTCTGCAGTAACGCTCCCACATGCTTCGAAACCTTGGCTGTCCTCCAATGTCCCACACCTGAAAAGGGACAAACACTCCAGCCTCAAAACACTTTTTAACTACATAGCCCTAACCTAACTTAATAAATTAAGTCTTACATGCAGCATGCAGATTACATTGCCAATTCCAAAATTTAATTAAAAGGTCTTCTTGGCCCCTTCTAGCTAATGGAGGGGGACATGCACATTCAGAGAGTATGTGAGACCTGTGACACTAAAAGCTCCAAATGTTTTTTGGAGAATGTTACTCTTTCCCACTCACTAAAAGAAAAGTCTTACTCAGATACTGAAGGGAATTATTGCAAATGCACAGTCTCAAAACCAAAAAGAGTATCATCATTGTATGAAACAGTTATGCAGGTTAATATTTAATGTGGCTAGAGAAGCCTGAGTTAAGAAGGTATCAGATTTTCAACAGGCTAAAGACAGATAGTAAATAAACAAAGAGCTGGTCAGAGAGCAGACTGAATCCACAAAAGGGATAACGCTCCCCACTCCAAGGAGCTCCAATACCTCCACAGCTCTCCCACTGGTTCAACAGATGTGCTTTAACAGACACATGGATTAATTAATCAGATCCAGAAAGGAAACAGTAGTATAGGTAGGCCTGAAGAGATTAAGCAATGTTTCTTGAAAAAAGCAAGCTCAAATTCTGCTTATCCTACCACAAAAGCTCAAATCCTATAAATACTTACACACGCTATTAGTGCCCAGCAACCCCATGGTATTCCTAAATTTGTTAAAACATTAACACACTATTTTTCTGTACAGGAGTTACGCATTTTCCTTTACTAATTGGTATTTTTGGTGGATAACAGAATGTTGTTTCAAAACTGTTTCTCAGATCAAAGTACCAGGTAACATACATACATCATGCAGGGCAGGGCTATACGAAAATGTATCTGTTACAGCTACATCCAAAAACAGTCCTGTTACAAGTGACACACAGATTAAGACAGTGATGAACACTGAAAAATAAAAGTAATGGATTTGTTCCTCTGCCAAGGACAAAGAGAATTATTTCTTATTTTAAGCAGATTTAGCTGTCAAAACAATATATAGTGTATACCAGATCTAGGAGGCATATATATTACAGAAGCAACTGAATTTGGAAGTAATATATACAGAAACAAATTTTTTAAAGAGTTGTCCTCACATTTACACTATAAATATAAATTAAGCCTTCTCTGGCAACAAAACTTCTCACAAAAGACCAAGGCTTCACAGACCCATGGGGTAAGGCCTTTTTCAATGAATGTCCACTATTTTTTAATTTCACAGCCTGTAAATAGCTTTTATGTACCAATTTATATATAATTTTCAATATCTTATATTCATATTTTAGAAAGAAGTACTTTCAATTCACCAGTAAAAATCATTCCCTGATTGATATCTTAACAGTCCTTCCAACATAAAATTATTGTATCACCTAAATGTAGAGTGCTTTTTGATTCCCTGAATAAGATCAAAAAATTTTACACATGAAAGAGCTTCTGACCATGAAGTGGGTATCAATTAATATCTGTACTGACATTTGAAGCACTGTATCAAAGGTCTTAGTAAAATAAACCTTTATACTTTAAAAGCTTGAACGTAATGAGTATTCAGCATTATGGTTAGGTGACAAAACTTACACCAACACTAATTACTCCAATAACTCATCAAGACCTTGAAACTATCCAAAGCCATCTGGTGCACATCTGCGTGTCTTGAAAAAGAAACTAAATTATTTTCTTGGTAGACCAGAGGAAAAAGAAAAGGGAAAGATGATAGGGCAGGCAAGTTGTCAGAATAGATTTTTGGAATTCTGATAGCCATGAAAATCTACAAGATGATGCAGCATGGACTAATCACAAAATAAATAATACAAGACAAAAAATCCTGGGTTTGTCCTTGCTTGATATATATCTTGCAGTATTAAATTGCATTGTAGAACAAGATTACTCTCATTAGGAGAAAAAGTCACCTTGAAACAATGGGAAGATAAGTCATTTCCAGTCAGTTTCCCTAATCAGGCTTACAGCTATTCATTAAAGTACAACATGAAGGACACAATATAGACTAGGTGTTATTAACAGAGCTTTAGAACCAAATTTACATCAACATAGTAATAAGTACGTGATATATGAAAAAAAAAAATGCATTAAATTTAAAAAATCCTTACTTCTTTCCCTTTGAAATCAAAATGTTTTTAATAGTAACTTTCTAATACTCTTTATTATATTGAATAGCCAATGAAAGAGTTAACTACTTAATTCAAAACACAAAATCCTGCACCAACCATTTTCATAGTACATGACTGAACAGACAGAACTGTGAGAATACAAGAGGTACCCAGGAAGGAAAGGGGAGAGGTCTTAGTGCTAAAGAAGTTTTCTTACATGAGCCTTACATGTTTTGTATACCAACGATTTTTGCATCCCAGCATTTAATACACAGGTAAAAAGTATGTTCTGGGTATGAATAGGCAAGAGAACTAACTTGAACAGCTATCTATAAAAAGAAGTTTACTTTGTCTGGTTGTTTTTTAAAAGAGGCTGGTCTTCAAATCCTCACATGGCTTTTACTGGCCCCTCAGGAATAAAAGTTTCTTAATATTTAAAGATAATTTTACCCCTATTGATAAAATTGTGATTTTAAGAATCAGCAAAGATTACAGAATGACCAAATTGAGAGAAAGTTTCTTTTGATACACAGTACCATTGCCACACAGGAGATTAAAATCTCAATGATTTGTTGCTCAGGCTCAAACTCAAAGGCACATATCTCGTTGGTACTGAATTTTAATCTGTTTTATTCATTTCTATCTACTTCTGCAGTGTAGTAATTCTTATTGCACTTGCAGCTCTACTGTGTCATTAAGTAGTGCAATGCTTTAATCTGTAAACTAGATCACCAGGATGGAACCACTGTTTATCATGTACTTACCTGAGATACACTGAATTCTTCTGAAAGAGGAAACTTTGGATTTATCTCTTTCCAATTTTTCAGGAGGATCTAAGGCTCCATCTTAACACTGTAGCTATTAGCTGTGTTTAAGGAGCAGATCCTTTTCTTTTGTACACAGCTCTATCATGGCAGTTGAGCAAAAATGCACATGAAGAGGTTCAAAGATTTTTGAAAGCTTTCAGTTACAGGAAGGTTCATTAACACTCTAGCTGTGTTTCTTCAAATTAGCTCATATTGTGGGAAGGCTTGATGGTTCATGAGAAAGTTGCTGGAAAAGCGTTTTCTAGACGTCATGTTACATGGCTTTTTTCAGATATGCTGGGTAGGAGATTTCTTGTGGACAGAGATTACAATGACAAATTTCTATCTTGATGTCAGTGTGTGGGCTCAGTACCTACAATCTCACAGTAGTCAGCAAAGTCTAGACAGCCTTTCAGCTGATCACATATAACATCTTGTTTAGGATGACAGAATTATGCTCTAGGCTTGACAGCACTGATGACAGCTCCTCTGACTATTACTAAAAGAGCTTAAGCCTCACTGCAGACATATAGATGTTTACACGAAGACATCTCAGCCTGCAAGATGAATCCAGCACTGCAAATATTTGAACTTGGAAATGTATCTTTCATCTTGGAAGTATGCAGAAAGTACCAGCCATAAAACCTAACCCAAACAAACAGGTGAGGAATTTGTTAAGCAGAGAGGAGTATTTGGAGAGAATAAGGCAGCACCAGTAACATCCACCATCCCAATAGACACAGAGAAGCCTAAGATGAGACCAATGAGCTCACACACACAGCAGTCATTGCACTCAGAGCCAGCTGTGTGTAACAGGGAGCTGTAGCATGGGACAACTTCAATCACCTAAAATTTAGCCATTTAATCCAGGTGACTAAAATTTCTCTTTGGCTACTGAAGTGCTCAAAGGGCACCAACAGCAGGAAATTTTTCTGTTTGTTTCACCCACCTTAGCTACCTGGTGAAGCACCCACTGCTGCCCAGCAAGTTCAGACAATTGGCTCAGGCTGGGTTACTTACCACCTGTCCAAGCTCATGAAGGACAAATCCTAAACAATCACCTATTCTAGACTGGAATCTTCAACCAAAAATATCCTTTTTTTTTTCCCAATAAACAGAAGAATAAAAAACCTAATAACCTTAATTTTTTTAATAAATTGCCCTGTATATACAAACCTACACAGCCCAACCGGTAGTACCTACCAGCCATGTAACTTAATATGGAAGTTAGAATATCTTACTACTTTAGAATACTTACTAATTATTATCCTATATATTGGAAATGCCTTCATAGTCGTCCTTAAGAGTCAAAAAAATGTGCAATGTGGTTACATTTTCTGCAGGCAGTATTTCTCAGAACAATATGTTCTTTGAAATCAGTCTTGGCCCTTTAAAGAACTCTCTTCTCCCTCCTCCCTGGTGATAAAGTCCAACTTAGGCATTTTAATCATGTCAAATAAAAGAAAAAAACTATATGCACGTTTCAATGTTCATAATTTAATATTTCCACTGAAGAACTGAAAATAGAATTGCAAGAAAAAATGTTCACAATGTATCTTCAACTCTTGACAACAAGCACTGAGGCATTTTAATGGGAGAGAGTATTTCTAAGTGATCAGGGGCTATTTGCCATTTTATCAGACACAAAACACAATGCTAGAAGGATCAACAGGACACAAAAGCAAAGTCCTTGTACTTCCATAACTTCCTAGAAATAGTCCTACCAGTCTATTTCTCTCACCTGTCAAGGTCCTTCTGGGTGGCAGCAGAACCCTCTGCTGCACCAGCCACTACCAGCAACCAGCAACCGCCCAGGTCACTAATGAACACACTAAACAACCCCTGGGATTTAGCACCAGTAACTGGGCTTCCAGCTGTGGATCAGCTCTTTTGAACCACCAGTGCAGCTCTTCCTCACAGACAACTATCATTAAACACTGGGACATCCAGCAAAAATTCTTTTTTTACAGAAATAACCACTTTGACTTGAAATCAGGCCAGACACAGCACAACTTCCTCAGAGTGATCCAAGTCATACAGAATAGCCAGTATGTGCTGAAACACTGCTGGAGCTACATTCAGAGTACACACATAAACTTGTATTTGAAATGACAATAAGACAGGTAAGAAATCCTAACTAGCAGGAGGAAGCATTACAAAGCAGGAGGATTCTGCTTCTGTGAGGATGCATAGAGACCTGAAAACACTACTGTCCAGAGCAGAAGTGCTGCAACAAAGGAAGCTGGCAGAGGAATGCACAGAGCTGGTATCCTTCTCCTGCCTCCCTGCCTCATCAGAGCAAAGTGCAGCAGCAGGAAGCTCAGCCGGGCTCTCCCGCAGCCGGGCTGCGCAGGGAGTGGTGGAGGGACACCGGCACCTAGCGGTGACAGCCGGGGTGACCACAGCCCGGCCCGCCAGCTCCAGGGCCCTGAGCACCTGCTCTCCACTCCCTCGGACCACTGTGGCCACGAAGTGCAGAATCTGCCTGGCCATGCTATTTGCCAATGCAAGAGCAAGGGAAATGAATCTGTGGCATTATCTGTGCATACACATGTCTGGGGTGCTCTATTTCCTTTTAACTGAGACTGTTCTAAACCATCACTGCAATAACCAAAGGTTGCTTGGCTGGGGATTCCCGATCACTTTAAACAGGAGTTCACAATTCAAGTCTTCTGAGGTTCTTAAAACTTGGCTTGCTAAAGGAAATTTTTTTAATTACTTTCTAGCTTGTTGAACAGTAAATCTCACCTAAGCAAAAGGACTGCTAATACCAAGCAAATCCAGAAAAACCATCAAAATCAAATCACCCACCAACAGCAAAACTTGTTTGTAATTAAAATCCCAAAGCAATTCAGTCAGATATTTTTCTCAGGGAAAAAAAACATATAGCCATCAGTTTTGTAATGAACTTCAACAGAAGAGTTCTAGCAGATCCCTACATTGTAGTACATAAAATGCTTTGATGCTAGAAATCATTCTGTACTTCAGTACCTCAACCACAACCTCAAAATATAAAGCTCCCTGCTTAGATTTCAAACAACGTGTGATTTTATTGCCTTCTCTTCTTGGAAGTAACAGGTGACAGATTATTAAACATATTGGTAAGTCAGAATTTGACAATTCATGGTTAAAGCTGACAGCCTTACATTTCTAAACAGGTTTAGCTTCAATTCAAGAACATCTGAAACTGGCATTTTCCTACAAAATGTTTTGGCTCAAGTAAATAATCAGCATTTTTCTTTTAGCATGGTTCAGATAAATACTCATACACACACACACAGCAGTGACCATACTTTTACATATTAAGATTAGATACTAAAAATAAATCTATCAGCTTTTGGAAATGACTGCCAAAATTAGAAGAAAGAAAAGTAGACCATGGGTTTCAGTTCTTTCTGCCTTATGGAATTGTGTGGAATCTGCAGATGGAACTGAAGTAAAGAAACCAGGCAGTGACACTGCCCTAGCACAGTACTTCCTTCTTAGTGGCCTACCCCAAGGTAGAGAAAATAACAGATAAAGGATTAGTATCACCTAATTGCTGGGTTTGCAACTTACTTTTCCAAAAGTGATCAATCTTAATACTTCTAGAATGCTAATTTTTCACTTGATGACTTTTTGACCTAGCTGACTTCTCAGCCTGAACCTTATAGTAAGTTTAATTGATTCTGTTTTGCAGTGTCCCATGAAACCTTCAAAAAAGGTCAGACACAATGTCAGGTCTTTGCTTAGCAAAAACATCATTCCTGTCATGTTTAAAGAACTTCATGGGTTTAGTAAAATAATGTTTTATCCATTAATTTTAATAGCTGACAGTTGAATGTCATAGTATTTCTGTGAGAAGGGTTACCTGTTTTGTTGGGATAAAAAGGTTAAAGAAAATTTTAGTGTGAATTCTTGTTACTGGGCTGCATAGTTCATAAAAGGATTCTAGCAAGAGGCACTGCCTCATCATTCTTGAGTCATCAACTTATCAAAAGATTATGTCATTTTTCTCTGAGTAAAATAATTATGAAAACCTTATTTAGCAATAGCCTGTAGGATTCTAACCTAGTTACAGGATTGGTGACATACAAGTAGCTTATCCTGACAGACTGTTAAGGAAATAAGCATCTATGCCTAAGAGTTATATCCCCCTACACCTCTTTCTTGTACTGAATGCTGTTGTAGCAGAGACACTGTGAGAATGAGACAAGATATTTTCCTAGGCAGACTGGCTTCCAAATTAAATATGTTTTTTGAAATTATTAAACATATTAATTATGTTAGCATTATCTCTTTATTCTTAAAAAATTATGTTAGCATTATCTCTTTATTCTATTATAGCAACTATATATAAAATTACTTTTGAGATCAAAGAGAAAAACAAGGCACAGTTCCACAGAAACTCACCCACACCCTCTCTGCACAACCTAATCTTGCAACATCATTTGCTCAGACAACTCTGGTATAAACTATTAGTCAGTTCCTTCTTGAACTATCCTGCCTCAAAAAATACTTTATCTTGATAACTGCTTACTAGTAAGATTTTTGCCTAGTTTAATGAACCATCCACAACTTTTCTGTTTTCTTCTACATCTGCCAATTCTGCAGCAGCATTGGTACACTCCTCCACCTATGCTTTATGCTTTCTCTCTATCAATCATGGCCTCATTGCTTCTGTGCAAAAGAAAAAAAAAAACACAGGAAATTCCTATTCCTGTGGCTTATTTATCAACTATGTCTGAATGCAGTAACTTTTTTATTGACTGTGGCACCTCTGGAATTTGATCAGTAGTTTAGGAGTCATGCCAGACCAGAGGAACTGAGGGTGAAAAGAACTTACATATTATGGAAAAGGAGGGAAAAATCAAGGTAAAGACAAAAATCCAGATTCCCTTAATCTAATTTTAGCTAGAAGTTGTGAATTTCATTAAGACTAATCAAACAAGAGACAGCACCTTAATGCTATTGGAGTGATTGATCTCTATTTTGATGCCTATGTGTCTCTATAGCTGTCAGAGACAGTTCTCTAATAAATGATTTAAGCTAGATGTCCTACTTCAGCATAGCTAGCATGTGAGCTAAACCACACTCTCCAGTGAGATACCTAAGTTAAGGGTCAAGCCACTCCAGATTCCACTTACAGCTGGGAGGAGGGGGGAAGAGAGAAGATAGATACACCCTCAGGAGTCAACTCAGCTACCTCAGTATCTCCACGTTTTATGACCTTCCTGAATCAAAAAAGTGCAACAAAGCTTCTGCCTGGCATGGAATACAATGAAATCACACAGATTAATATAACAGAGAAATAGATTACTATTGCTTTAAAAAAAGTTAGTCTGGAGCTAGAAAAATAGATAAGGGATCCTATAACCTTAAAAGAAATTTCCTGTCTTTCCTATTTCCAGTTGAAATTACTCTATTATTTATTCACTCTGTATCAATTCAAACATGCACACCTACCTTTATGGTAACATTGCCTTTTGTTATTTTTCTCATATTGAAGCCTACTGTAGGAATCATATCTTCTGTGAACTGCCCCGACTGGAATAGAAAACCAAAATTATATTTATTATAAAACAGTTGATACGTACAAGAAAGGTTCTCATTTGCAACCTAAAAGATGTTATTTTACAATACTGTAGATTATCACATTCATTTTCAGCAAGAGCACTGGCCAGCACTTCAATTACTGCATTGTCACATCATGGAAGACTGTTCATTTCAGTCCCTTTAAATGATCTTTTATTCTCTTCAGCAACAAAGATCACCCCAGAAACCACGAGACTTCAATTCTTTATCTGATCCTTTGGCAGCACAGCCAAAATATAGAACTGTAGGATGATTTCAGTAGAAAGAAACCTTCAAAGGTCACCTAGTCCTTCCCCCAATATGATAAAATATTATAAAACTGGCCACACCATGATTTTTGCTGTAGTTTCTCACTACTGTTACCAGTAATTTAACTCCAAATATAAAAACTACCCGTGCAGAGAGCACTATGTGCAGACTTGTTCCCTCTGCATAGGTGACAGCAGAGGAATCCTGCTGCAGAGCTAAGAAAATGCCATTAAGACAGAAAAGGACAAGGTGCTAACTCAGTGTACCACAAACCCTCAGCACAAAAATGCTGCCTCCTCCCCAACTTGGGAGAAATATTCCCACAACAGAGACACTTCTCATCAAACCAATGGCAATCTTACAGACTTCTACACACTACAAAAGACACCTTTGGAGGATTAAGACGGAACTCAGATCTGAGTTGGAAACTCATCACTCATTCTTCCTTTTGAAAGTGAATCACTAACAATGAATCATTAACATTATCCTGGACAGGATACATTAACAGGCAATAGTTACTGATGTCCATACAGAGGCCCAGGTGCTCTCTGAACCTGGTTTTCCAATCATCCAGCAAGGAAAGCAGCACCTTCTGGGGCTGCCACTGCCCTCCCACATCTATCAGCCCATATTTACCTATCAACCCTTGTGCCCTGGGCTGTCAGTTGTTTTTGGTTTTGGTTTTTTTTGTAGGAATATACGGGTATATGGATAAGGCAAGATGCAGTCATGTTCCATCAATTGCCTCTCATCTGAGAAATGGAGGATCAGAGCTTGAAGGTGCACTGGAACAGCAATGTGTCTCTCAGTCTACCCCTCCAGGGCTATTCCTGGGATCTGTACAATTTCTGAAACTTTTCTCTTTCCTGTTTGTGGAGTGAGAATACACTCTGCCTCCAGTTTGCATTTACAATTAAAGGTCAACAGTTTTTAATCTGGGGCTTTAAAAGCTGCGTAACTCTTGACAGTTACATGATTGTCTCACAAGATTTTAGAATTAGATCCTTCAGGAAAGAAACAACAACTACTTGTTTGTTCAACCTTACTTATGGGAATCTTCTTGCTAAATTCTCTACTATACACCTTCATCATCCTTTGTCTTTTTCTTCCCTGCATCAGTAACTTGTCAATAGCAGTAGGAAAAAAAAAGTGAAAATAAAAGCCCATGCAGTTTTATACAGATACACACATCCAGCACTGACAGAAGTTTTTAGCTGGATGTAGTATGACAAAGCCAACCAGTAAACCCTCTTGTGTACCAGGTACTGATCTGCCCAGGAAAATGGTGGAGTCACCATCCCTGGAAGCAGCCAGGAATGGACTGGATGTGGCACTTTGTGCTATGGCTTAGTTGACAGGGTGGTGTTTGGTCAAATGTTGGACTTGATGATGTTTGAGTTCTTTCCCAATCTTAATGATTCTATAATTATATGATTTTTTAAAAATATGTAACACCTGTATTTGTGGAGGACTGATGTATAAACACATATGAACACAAACATTGAAAATGTAGCATCATTACTCAAGGACAGGAATGCCTGGAAAACCTGAGTTAACTCAGGAGCCTGTAGAAAGTCAGAATTCTACTTTTGTCAGCAAATTATACATCACATGTAATACACTAAACTGGAAGACAACAAATAAATAAAAAAAACCAAACCACCATAACTCCTCTAGTATTGGGGATAGGATGCAAAGAATTAACATGCTCTGGATTGTTCTTCAGTCTTTTGCTCTAAAAATTCCCCATTCTGGTTGAATGGAATCGGATAAAAAGAAAGTATTATGTCTACAGTTTTTCATTTTCCCACACAGTGAAGAAAAGACAGGAACAGGTTCAATTGTTTGCTCATCTTAGTCCAAGAGCTGTTTATTGTGTTGTAATGATCTGACCACAATAAAGAAAAAAGTTTTTCCTACAGTGCTTGCTAAGGAAGGTTTACATTACCTAAAATTGCCTATTTTTGTGAATATTTAAGAAGTGCAAAAAAATTTATTGCCATGTTTCAATAAAAAACAGATTACCTCCTGACACAAATGAAAAATCACCAATGCTACAATGTAATGTCGTCTGAAAGTTTCTGAATATTGAACTGATAAGGAACAGTGTCATTACCCCTACCATATCAATAACCATGGACCAGATTCTACTGTATTATATCAATGCACATCCACAGTACAAGGCAGTGACTTTATCCAAAGTTTCCATTGGTAACTAAGGACTAAATATGGCTCAAACTCTGAAGAGTAGAGACTGACTCAAAGGGTGTATATTCAGTCTTAGCATGACAGGATCTCTGAGTGCTCTTGTGAAGTGAAAAAAATTGTAATTTCCAATGTTTTTTCTCGATCCACTACAGCTTGCATTTTAAGTAGCCACTATTTTGCAACAGCTATTTTCATCATCACACTCTAGCCACGTATTCACAAACATACATAGAGTTCCCAATCTGTTTGCCCTTCACATATCAACAGTATTCAAGAGAAAACTATTATAATTATTCTAATATTAATATATAGTTATTATGTATAATATTAGTTAGCCTTATCCTAATTTTTTCCCAAAATTCTCCAACCACTTTTTTTGGTGATTATCATGGCACATCATCTCCAGACCAGAAGATTGAAAATCTACAAAACCTGCAATGTGTAACCCTCCCTAAGCCACAAGACATAAATGCCTTGTAGAATACTCTTAAGAAATAACATTTGCAGGGAAAATCAGATCTGCAGTAACAGGAGTGCTCTGGCGCTGAAGATAACATCCCAAACACCATGGGATTCCATTGGTCCAGGGAGTGGAATAAGAGTTACACACAGAAATTCTGCCACCACACACTACTGAGGTCTCTGAGCTGCTCTGCTCTTTTCTCCTCTGTTCATGAAAACAACCCAAGAAGCAATGTAACTTATCATGCATTTTCCCCATTCCTCAGCAAGGCCCTCCCTTGGGGAATGAACACTTCCAATGGGCATAAAATGCACCGAGGCCTACCTCAGCAATATTATTTGAGTGCCTGACAAACCAACTAAAATACCAGCTACAGGTGTATTCCATTGATTGCTGATGTCACCCAAAACATACTTTCACGGGACACCTGCCATTCCTTTTTCTCTCCACTTCTTCATTCACACTAATGCATACTGTCTTATTTTTCCCTTATTCCATAATCATATACAAAAGCAAGTACCAAATATCATACTCAGGTTTTCATTGCCTTGATGTCTCTGACTTGGACCCATACACCTCCCAGTTCAGTTTTTAGCTTTTCATGATAAGGACTGAAGAACATCTAGAAATTTTCATCTTCTAGCAGCTGAAGCTGCGATACACCTAATAAGAGATACCACCTTGCAGAAAAGCTTCAGTAAGCTTCATGATTAATAGTAAGCAAATATAACATATTTACATATATATATATTTATTTATTTATTTCCATCCTCTGATGGAAAGCAAATCTGGACTCAAATGCAGTTTCGAGGGCACAGCAAATGAAGAGGAGAAACGTATTTCAGCATGGTGAAAGGGAATATGTCATGGTAGGTGTCAACACTAGAGAGGCTGCAAGGCCATCACCAGAGGGGGAACAGAATGCTGGAATCAGGCTTGAATGCTGGGGAAGATCTATGGAGGATTTGTGGGAGGCATCAGTATTGCTGCAACTGCTGGGAGGAGAGAATTCAGTAACGGACAAGCCGCGGCCTTGAGGGATGCACAGCGTATTATTCTGGGATACACTGGATATGGAAAGCCAACCTGAACCGCGGCAAGAGCCCATGCCCACGAATCTGCTCCAAGATGGGCACATTTTGCAGCCAGACCCAGAAGACATCTTCCTCCTCCCTCTGAAAACACTTTCACACACACCTTAGCATCCTGCTGTGAAATTCTCGAGGTGGCAACGATGCAAAAGCTGCCTCATGCTCTCTCCCGCCCGGCCCCCCTTCCTCCCTCCCTCC